TGGCCCTGTTCGTGTCGGGTCCGGTCCCGGTAACGGGAGCAGCAGCGAAGGGCTGCCCCTCGGCCCCCCGCTTCTGTTCGTGAGGGAGAGGGGCCTGTGGGGGGCCGCTGTAACGTTGGTTCCCCCCGGAGTCCAGCAGAGAGCCCCGCTGGGAGGCCGAGCCCGTGAACCCTGCAGGCTGTGCCTTGACCCAAAAGAAGTCAGGAAGGGCCCTGTCTTGAATACATCACGTATTTCAGTGCAAATTCTACTGATGGCTGCGGAAACCGATAAACCTGAGATCAGGAGGCAAAGGAATGGAAATGTCCCTTTTTCTCCTCACAAGCGTTGAGGGTAACCGCGTGGTTTATTTTATTAAATCATTGTACTGCAATTCGATCGTGTATGTGTGCAGCACAGAGCAGTTTTAACAGCTCAGGAAAAAAAAAAAAAATGTCTTGCTATATTTACTGCAATTATTTCTTCAAATCTTTATCAGCCCCCAAATCCAAATTCTCTCTGGCCAGTTCTAATGTTACCAGTCACACAGACATAGCTGTCTTGCCACACAGACATAGCTGTCTTGCCAGTTACGAAGGAAAACGTACCTTTTCTCTCTGCCTTAATTTGGTTAATTTTTCTAGATTTAAATGTTGAGCTATTTAAATTCCACACACAGAGTGAATACATTGGGTAAAATTCTTCAAGAAAAAAAGCACTTTGCATGATAACACCCCCTTTGGGAAACGATGGAATCCATTATTACCACTGCTCTCTGGGGCTCCAGATCCTCTGGGACAGAAGTAAACAGGTTAAATAGTTGTGTTAACTCCTGCTTTCACATTGGGGCCTCTTTGTAGGCTCCTACAGAAGGGAAAGGGTCTACCATTATCTACTGATGGCTGGGTGAAATTGCATTTTGAAATTGGAGAGCATAAAAAAGGCCTCTCAAAGTAAATGGAAAGGGAAAAAAAAACGGAAAAAAAAAGCAATCCAGCTTTATAAAAGTAATAGGTGAAACAATGGCCTATTGCCAAAACAAAGTGGAGGAGGTGAAACTGGAAAGAGATTTACTGTAATCTGTAATTTCAGGGTTGGCAAAAAAATGCCAGGAATTGGAAAAAAGAAGTTACAGAGGCAGAAAAAAATAGGTGCGTGGCTCTGAGAAACAGCTGAGTACTTCAGGACTGCATAAATAGGAAATATCTTCTGAGTTTCTTCCGTCGTGAAGGAAACCAAGTTTTCTACATTATTTGTAAGTAAACAGGATTGACATCATTCTTGCATCATCATCAGTTTCTCCTCCTAACTTAAACAACTGCAAACCACCAGATTTTAGTTAACCCCTTAGGTAGAAACGTTACTTTCTGGTTTTGGGATTGTTTATTGGGAAAGGTCCCAATTCCAGTAATTCTTCCCCCCTGCATTATGGATTGTATCAGATCAAGAACGGCATCAATATTCATCCTGTATTAGAAGCTGGCAGACTGAGAGCTATTTACTACGTGCTGCCATCCATTCAGAGACGGAATAAGCAGAGAAAGAAATATTGCCAAATGTGAAGGAATGTTGCTTTATAGCTAACACAAAAATTACCCAAATCTTGGTATTTCTAGGATTATGTATGAATTGTTTTTAAGATAGATTTTGTGCATTTGTAGGTAGTCCTAACAACAACAAAAAAAGAGTAACAATTAATTAGAACTGTTTCCTATTTATTCTGTAACTATCTGTCTCCATGGCCATCCTTCATGTCCTGCAGGCAACGTGGTGGGACCCGTTGCTCTGATGTGACTATTCACAGAAGATAAATATTTTCAGCAAACCCTGTCTATGAGATGAAACTACCAAGAACCTGGGTCTTTTCAAACCAAGCACAGTGTTAGCCTGCTGCCCATACCGCAGTGCTGACGCTTCCCCTTCCCCCTTGCAAAAAAGAGGGTTGAGAAATTAACCACATCTATCCTGCTTCTGCAATTGTTTAGGGGAAACCTACTTGTTTGTAGTGATCTAGTCATGACAAAGAACATTTGTCTGATGCCACATTTTGAATCATTATGCATGTTGCCTGGTATAATCTCCATGGTTACCATAGGTGTTACAGATATATTTTTGCTTCAGTTCTTTAGGAAGAAAAATTCTATAGAAAAATATAGGGGAGAAAATTTTCATTGTCATTTATATTGCATTTATTTTATTCTAAGTGCTTTGTAGACAATAAATGTTCACTTTCTAAACAAGTAAGATTTCAGTAGAGATGGAAAAATTTATCTCCAGCTGTTGCTTTGTCACGCCATAATATGTTTTAAACTGCAAATTCTTCGAGATAGGGACAGTATTTTTGACGCATGCATTTAGTTTCTAGCCCAGTAAGAGTGTGACAGGGCACTCTGTCACTGCTAGAGTCATGAACAACAGTAAGTGTGGTGGGATGACTGAGCAGCAAATATTTTTTTTTTTTTATTTGCAAAGATTAGAAGTTGTACTTCCCTTCTGAGCAGTTCTAATTTATAAGTAAAAATGTGTTCTAGAAAGACGGTTAGCTGAAACAAAAATTAGCTGAAATTAGTTCTAGAAACCAGTAATGGGAAAGATATAAACCCCAGATATATAGCTCTATTTAATTTTTTTAAAAAAATCTTTTTTTTTTTTTCTTCTATTGTGGAAGTACTTGACAATCAAGGAGATGTATGTAAGGAATTAAATGGAAAAGATGGTAGTAGACCCATTCTTTGTCAGACCCCCAAGTGTAGCCCAAGTGCTGCAGAGAAGGCAGGAGCTGTGTGAACTTTATGGGATCTGCATACCCAGTTCTCCTTTGACAGTGTTTTATAGGATCTCTGCCCCCCCCCCCCCTTTTTTTTTTTTTTTACAAATCACTACAGGAGGAACAAGGTAAGGAGCCAATTACGAAAGATGTATTTGGGGAACTATAAGGCCTAGCAGGCTGCAAATGATGGACAGAAGGAATTCC